CTTACCTCTTTGAAAGGGTATTTTTGTAAAAACAAATAAAGGAAGAAACTTTCCCATCATCCCTACTATTATAAAAAAATAATAATAATAATAATAACAGTAAAGTAAAGAATAAATTGCGGGTAAGACTAAATAATTTACAAATTCCTGTGATACTGGTACTGATAATTATAAATACCTCCTCAAGCCATTTCTCCGTTTTACCGTTACGCCCTTAAAGAGTTATGAGTAGCATAATCTTGAAGATCGTTTATCTAACGGTTTATAACAACATACTGTTAGTTTTAGGGGAACCAATAACAATAGGAGTTTGTAAGTTATTTAGAGCTGATTAAGCTTATAAGCTCTTAAAATCATCTTATAAGATGTTAGAATATTTTATAAGCTATTAAAAGGTGTTTGGTAATTATTTTCTACAAGATCTTATCTTATATATAAAAGAAAAAACATTTAAGCAACTTAAAAAACCATAATGGCTATTTGTAAAAAAAAAATTATTTCAAATTTTTTATCAGATTTTTATCTCCTAGATATCATTTTACATTTTTATCAAATTTTTATATCCTAAATATTATTTTAGACTTTTATCCGATTTGACCTCCTAAATATTATTTTATATATTTATCTACTCGGCTACCATCTCCTATTTACAACCCAATCACTCCTAATTTTCAGCCATAAACATCTCTAATGCACAATCAATTAAAAGAAAACACGTATAATTTAGTTACAAAGATGGATTCCCGATTCCAAAAGACTTCGGCTAAGACTCTCAACACTTCTAACTTCTCTCTTCCACTTCAACACGTTTGTGTTTTCTCTTCATATTTATGTCCGACCTCTCAACTTCTGGACCCTAGTTTTATCTCTCCCCGTTTCTACCAAATATTTGTGGTTTCATTAAAGATTAGCTACTTTGCAATTTGTTCTCTTTTTAGAATGTTTCAGTTTATGTTCTTTATTATCATCCGCCTTCTACACAATTTTTTTTTGTTCCTAGTTCATACATTGGTTCGATATTTACACATTGTCGTTGGAAAAAAATGTAAATAGATCTGATTTTCGTCCGGCGGCTCTTTCTACACAATTTTTTTTGTTCATAGTTCATACTTCATACAGTGGTTCGATTTTTACAAAAAAGGTAAATAAATCGGATTTTCGGTTTTTACAAAAAAAGGTAAATAAATCTGATTTTCATCGATGGTGGATTTTTTGACATCGTTTTACAGTATGTTTGCAATATTTGAATTTTATTTCTTCATCCTACCTATGGCGGCTTCTTTTGGTAACCCGCCTTTAGATTTTTTACCTTATTTTCTTCTTCATCATATTTGACTATGTGGTAATTAGTTGCATCTTTTTCCATCATAAATGATATTGTTATGTTATAGTATTTTGACAAAATTTATTTCAGTGCCTCGAAAAAGTTATAGAACATTATGCCATTTGGGTCGCTGTTTCCAACCCGTTTTTAAATCTTAAAAGACTAAAAAGTCAATATGGCCGATATTATCGGCCTACCGACTTTTTAAATGTTTTTATTGTAATATTTAATTGTAATTTTTATTTTTTTTAATGTTAAAATAATATATAAAAGACTTTAAAACTCAAAAACTCAAAACACAAATTTATAAACCTCTCCATACTATTTATATTTTATAATTCTTATTTCATATTCTTCATCATATATTTTACTCATTGTAGAAGTTTAATAAATAAAAACTCTTAATTTTAGGATTTTTACGACATAAGTTTTCCGAAAACTTTGAATATCTTTTGAAAAAAGTTAAACTGTCAAATTATTCTTGTTTTGTAAAAAGAGAAAAATAAATCAATAGATGTTTGGTCATTCCTACCAACCACTCATTGTTTGCCCGACGAAATCGGTTGCCAACCATTATCCGACCCATAATGGTCAGGCCGATAATGGTTTTCAGTATTCAACAAATTCGGGTGGTCGGATCGGGTAGGTATTTGACCGATAATTACCAGACCCGTCCACCCAATTTTGCTGAAAACTGAAAACTATTATCAGCCCGACCATTATGGGTCGGATAATGGTTGGCAACCGACTTTGTCGAGCAAACAATGAGTGGTTGCTATTATCGGCCATCTATTTATCGTTTTTTTTTTCTCTTTTTACAATTATAGGATTTTTTAAAAGTTTTTCAAAAGATATTCAAAATTTTGGGAAAACTTATATTATAAACATCTTAACTTTAAAATTAAGTGTTTTTTTTTATATTAAAATTCTACAATAAGTAAATATATAATGAAAAATATAAAATAAGAATTACAAATAGTACGAACTGGTTTATAAATTTGTGTTTTGAGTTTTAACGTTTTTATATATTATATTTTAACATTAAAAATTATTTAATTTTACAATTAAATAGTTATAATAGAAAAATTACTAAAAAAGTCCGTTCGCCGATAATATCGGCCAACTGACTTTTGAGTATACCAAACCCACCGACCGACCCATGTATATATGGGTTGATTAGTATTACAGGGCCGACAACAAAATTATCGGCCGAAAAAAGTGGGTCGAAAGTCGGTCGGTAGGCCGATAAAATCGACCCATGCCCAGCCCTAAATATCGCCATGTCATTTTGCCTCCACTCAAAAGTATCGACCGAAAAAAGTGATTTGAGCTTTTGTAAGAAAAGAAAAAACACTAGCCAAAGTATTTATTACATAGAAATTGTAATATAAAAATTCAGTATCTATATCATGGTATTGTCTCAAACCAAAGTAGCAATAAATTATCAGCAAGGGACAAAAAGGTCCACAAATGAATTATGATATTATATATGTGTATATATACTGTATTCTACTGTCCAGAAAGCATTTTGGTAATGGTATCCTGCAGTAAAGCAGTAGACTCTACTGCACTTTTAGCTAACCAGCTTATCCCTACTTTTAACCTGTGCTCGTCTGTCGGTAATCGGATTAAGTACGCTATTTTCCTCGCTGCAATGCATAATCAAACGTGAAATTCAGAGTGCGACAAGAACATTAAATAATTGATGAAAAAAAAAAAACCTATCGTCCCTCTCTATATATATATACCTGTGTGACCAATTGGACCTTCCAAAGTTAGGCCATCAATGAAACTTGGTGTAATAGCGGCATCGTATCTTCCAAGACTCATCATCTCCCCCAAATTCTGAAACCTGAGGTAACAAAACCGAACGTTAAGCTGGCTATCATAAGTACAAAACATAATAATTAGATGAAATTTATTTATCAGTGTAATATTCGAGGTCTTAGTTCGACTATGCGACATACAAAATACATATAATTTTCGGATTAAATTTTCGTTAGGATTTGATTTTTTAAACTTTCTAAATATCATTTTATTCTCCCAAAAAAACACGAACGTATAGCGCTTCACGAATACATTTCACTCCATAACTATCTTCTCTAATCCAGAAACATATCCAAAATTCATAATCAAAATCCAATTAACCGCGCATTCCTTAATACGTTTCTCTAAATCTAAACGAATGAATGTGTGTCTTGTAATTCAATCGAAACTAACCTAAACGGCAGTAGAGGTCGGCCATTTATTGCAGCCCAAAGATTCCAGCCCGCAAAATCGGCCTGTTGAAATGCTACCTGAGAAAAAAACAACATATCAAAGTAATTGTCCCGAACAGGAAATGTTTCACAACAAAAACTATTCATAAAGATATTTATTACCGGTCGGAAAATATAAAAATAATAGGATTAAACAAAGTACCTGAGCTGTGCCAGGAAGCAAATTTCCGTTTCCATCCCTCACAGCAGAAGAGTCTCCAACAGCAAATATACGAGGGTGACCCTTAACACGAAGAGTTTCGTCTGTTTCTGCTTGTCCCCTACCATTAAGAGGAAGGTAAATTGGTTTATCGCTCTGTTCCAGCTCAGCAAGTAGAGGTTTTGATCCAACAGTCCATAAAACTAAATCCACTTCAATAACTTTGCTTTCTACCCCCCTCTCTGCAGGCTGCAACTCCAGTATGTATCTTTCGTTATTGTGAGATTCTGTCGTATCGTCTTTCTTTATACACCGAACAAAGTAACCGAGCAGAAGCTGAACATTCCTGGATGATAGAACCTGACAGAAAATGGCTCTTAGTCTTGGCAATAATCGAACTGCATGAAACCACAAACCA